ATATATATATATATATATATTCCCACTTGTTGACAATGCACCTAAATATCCAAGAGCTCTCTGGTGGGGATATACAAGGAGATTAATACTATTCTCAGGCCTGCTAACCAACATCTATTTTGCAGCTCATGAATCAAGAACTAATTCTGATATTCAATTCTTACTATTAAAGAAATATATTTTATAAGGCTATGGTTGTCATAACAATTTCTCTGATGAATCTGGGCAAAGTAAAATGAAAACCTTCTGGAAAGGATTGTACATTATAGACAATTGAGAACAATAGTGATATAAAAGCATTCCCCTATAGGAAGAGCTCTGGAAAAACAAAACAATAGTGATTCATTAGAGGTGGTCAGATACCAATATTAACAGGGTCTGGGAAGAAACTTCTGTTCTGTCTCAGGAGCTTTGCTCCAGCTTGGGCTTGGTCATGGTCTTCCTGGAAACTCCTGTCTCGTGTGTCACTTACCTTCCTTCCTCAGTTCCTTCAAGTCACCGTCTCAGTGAGACCCACAGTGACTTCTCTATTTAGCACAAGAAAAACAAAACTGCCCCACACCTTTTGATTCATCTTACCATCCTTTACTTTTCCTTTTGAAAAAGCACTCATAATCTGTTATATTATATGAACATAGAATTGACATGTTGACTGTCTTTCTTCTTCATCAGAATATAAGCTTCTTGAGGGCAGGGATTTTTTTTTTTTTTTTGAGACAGAGTCTCACTCTGTCACCCTGAGTAGAGCCCCACAGTGTCATAGCTCACAGTAACCTCAAACTCTTGGACTTGAGTTATCCTCTTGCCTCAATCTCCCAACTCCCAAGTAACTGGAACTATAGGTACCCTCCACCATGCCCAGCTAGTTTTTCTATTCATAATAGAGACGGGGGTTTCACTCTTGTTCAAGCCAGTCTTGAACTCCTAGGCTCAAGCAATCCACCTGCCTTGGCCTCCCAGAGTATTATAGGCATGAGCCACAGAGATCTTTTTTTTCTTTTGGCCAGGGCCAGGTTTGAACCCACCACCTCCGGTATATGGGGCTGGTGTCCTACTCCTTTGAGCCACAGGTGCCACCCACAGAGATCTTTTTTAATAGATATCTATTAGGCACCTAGAACAGTGGCACAAGTAAGAGTCAGTTAGTACCTTCAGTGCTGTACATAAAGATAATCAAGAAGGCAAACACTTTGGCCCTGAACAGGGGCTTATACCTGTAATCTTAGTACGCTGGAAGGCCAAGACTAATGGGTAGGTTGAGCTCAGGAGTTCAGGATCAGCCTGAACAAAAGTAAGACCCCATCTCTATTAAGAAGATGATGAAGGCAAAGGTTTTGTTTTATATTGTTTGTGAGAGAGACTCATTTGTTGCCCTGGGTAGAGTGCCATGGCATCATCATAGCTACCAACAACCTCAAACTCTTGGGCTCAGCTGATCCTCTTGCCTCAGCTTCTCAAGTAGCTGGAACTACAGATATGTGCCACCATGCCTGTCTCATTTTTCTGTTTTTAGTAGAGACAGGGTCTCACTCTCGCTCAGTCTGGTCTTGAACTCATGAGCTCAAGCAAGCCACCCACCTCAGCCTCCCAGAATGCTAGGATTACAGGCATGAACTACCACACCTGGCCAAGAAGGCAAAGGTTTTAATAAAATTTCTGCTGAAAATGTTTTTTAAAACCTTTCTTTTGCTTTTTTGGCCATGAAGCAATGAAAATTCTTTCTTGATAAAAATTAATAATGTTGCTATAGTTCTTTTTCAAATATTTGGGGAATTATTTTGTTTTCTGCGATGGCATTTTTGATGTAGAAAGCCAAGGTAATCACATCCCTGAATTGAGGAATGCTGTCATTGGAAGTTTCTGCAAGGTCCCTCTCTTGTTTGAGCAGTCTGTCCATCTATCCACTCACCCCTTCACCCATCCATCTATCTATCCGTCAATCAGTCCATCCATCTATTTTTCCCTTCCCTGTTATTCATGACCTTTTCTTTCCATTGTCCAGTTCCATTCCTCGTTCCCCACATGCAGCTATTTTGATATGTTGGATATGTGTATGTCTTTTGTATGCGTTCTTGTATAATGTCCATTTTGTGTGTGTATTTAAAAACTATTTCATGCCATTTCTCTTTTTTTCACTTTTAAAATCTTATCATCTTGCTGTATGCATATCTGGACTACTGCTTCTAACTGCTTAAGATGTATCTGACACTAATCCAGTTCTTCACCTCTCACCTACCACAAGCAATTCCAAACATATCTGAGAGTTTTTCTGGGATTCATGTCCAGGTTCAGAACCGCTACATTTTCAGAATGGCTACATCACTCTATACGCCCACCAGGTGTCCATGACAATTTCTAGATCCCTCACCCCCAACAACACCTGGTATTATCCAGATGTTTAAATTTTTTTCTAGTCTAATAGCCAAATGGATATGATTCTTTTAATTTACACTTCTCTTATCCCTACTAGTTGACCATCTATTCTAATGATCATTTTTATTCCTTTGCCTTTCCTCTATTAACCACCTGTTCATAGCCTTTGCATATCTTTCTCCTAGGGCTCCTTTGTTTTTTATTTATTTATTTTTTTGAGACAGAGCCTCAAGCTGTCACCCTAGGCAGAGTTCTGTGGCATCACAGCTCACAGCAACCTCTAACTCCTGGGCTCAA